TATACACGAAGTGACAGTAGGATAAAAGTCGAGAATGAAGAGGGTGCTTCCCTTCAAAGGAACCCAGACATTCCTCATATTGGAAAAGACTGCTATTAAATTACACTGTTTCCTTAACACAGAAAAAAGATGTTTAAGAGCCAGGTATGGTGGTGCACGCCTTTAATCCCAGTGCACAGGAGGCAGAGGCAGGCGGATCTCTGTGAGTTCGAGACCAGCCTGGGAGTGAGTTCCAGGACAGCCAGGGTTACACAGGGAAACACTGTCTCAAAAAAACAAAACAAAACAAAACAAAACAAAACAAAACAAAAAAACAACAACAACAAATTGGATGTTTAAAAGGAACAGCTGTAGCCACATTACAGATGCAGCTGCTCTTAGGAACCAAAATATAACACTTAATTGATAATCTAGGATTGAGGGACATCATCAACATGTTTTAACTACAGGCCATACCCGATGAGGAACTGGCCCGGTATGTCAGACCTGTCAGGAGCCACTGTGGTGAAACAGAGAGTCTCACCTGGAAGAGCGACTTTCCAAACACAAACTACAATGGCAATCCCTCCTACAAATGATTTAGTAAGGTTATTATTATTATTATTATTATTATTATTATTATTATTATTATTATTATTTATTTTAACATCAAGTGTATAGTGAGTAGCTACGTGATTCAAGGGTCATCCTGATGGTTGTAAGAAAGTAGGCCGCTCACAGGTAACTTAGGACCCGTGGTTGAAGCAAAATCTTACAACCTGCATCTTTTGAATGCAAATGAAACTTTAGTCAAGGTACTGGTTAGAATGGCCTGAGGCCAGCGGGACGGCTCAGTGAGTAAAGGCACTTGCTGCCACGGTTGATCTGAGTGTGAGCCCCAGGGCTCCTATGGTAGGAGAGAACTGAGTCCTACGAGCTTTCTTCTGACCCCCACATGGTTCCATGGTGGCCCCTGCTAAACACAGATTAAAATATAACACACACACACACACACACACACACACACACACACACACACACGTAAATATCTATCTCTCTCTATATATATATAAACAGTTAAGTGAGGCCAACCCTGGAGTTAAATAATCTGGCTCAGGGCCACTGGATGGCAGACAATGCTCATGGACTCGGTAATGAGTTTTTGGAACCAGCAGCCACATCGACAGGGTGTGCTCTGCCTCCGGATGGAGTTCAAGGTTTTGGTCATGGATAACATCACCTGCTTCCTGGTTAATTTGGAACACTTTGGAAATGCCAGCTATTGAAGCATCACATCGAGATAATAGTTTAAGATACCATTAAGATAATGGAACAGTATTGTCCCTGAAAGAACAAAATGTGTTTCCCAGTCTCAGATTGGCACAGGCCACTTCCTTGTCTCTTCTTCCAGTCTGCTACGATTGCCACGGCCACCTGTCCCCTTCTCTCCACGGCATGTCTTCCTTACCCCCCTCCCTATTTGGCTTTCCACCCCCATTTCGGACCCAAAATCGTTTAGTACTACCACAGGGCACCCTCCCCCAAATGGAAATGTACTGAATTGGCATGGGCCCTTCTTAGTTCCACAGCTGTTCCCAGCCCCACCTTCGTGAATTTTAACTCAGTATCTTTTCTCAAGACTGGGTTTCTTTGTGTAGCTCTGGCTGTCCTGGAACTGGCTCTGTAGACCAGGCTGGCCTCGAACTCACAGAGATCCGCCTGCCTCTGACCCCTTAGAGCTGGGATTAAAGGCGTTCACAATCACTATCTGGTGTTTGTGCCCCATGTGCCTGCAGTGCCCAAAGAGGCCAGAAGAGGGCATCAGACCCTGGACCTGGAGTTACAGACAGTTGTGAGCTGCCATGCAGGTACTGGGAATGGAACCCTGTTCTCTGCAAGAGCGGCCAGTGCTCTTAACTACGGACCCACCTCTCCACTCCACCACACACACAGCATCACTTATTTTAAATGGCAGAAGTTGGGACTTGTCAGACAATGTGGTTTGCCTGTTCCAAACAGCCTCCAGTAAGGGCCTGAGGCTGAACCACACGCTGAGAATCTCCGCTCTCTGATTATCATCGCCAGATGTGCTTTTCCGCTACTTTAGCTGTTTGCCTCTCACCCTTCTCTCTACCTGGATTTAGCCTCTGAGAGGTTTGGTGCTGCAAGGCAGAGCCTCCCTCATTCTCTTCCATTCTACTCTTCCCTTCCCCTGTAAGAGGGCTGCTGGAGGGCGGGGTGTGTTTATGTGCAGCCAGAAACAGATCCGGAAGCACTGCTTGAAAATCGTATTTGGTAGAGTGTAGCACGAATCTTAGAAGGTCTTATTAATAAAAACAAACCTGAAGCCAGGTATTGGGGTGAATGCTGGAAGATCAGAGAAGCAGAACAAGCCACAAGTTCCCCAGCTGATCCTGTTTCTGTTATGCTCAGATTGTGACCCCCCAAAGAGACCACCGAAGACCTTGGATGTCCAGAATGCAACAGCAAGGTTGATTCTGCAGATACAAGTCTAGACAGGGGACTCATTCCTACACCCAGTACAGTGAGGCAGGGATGAGTTCCTCTTTCTTTGTGTGGCTGGCTATTTAAAGGCAAAAACCACAAGCCCTTCAGGGAGGTTAGGGGGGTTTGCACGGGTGCAACTCGGATTGGTTTATTTTTATCTCTGTTCTCTTTTAATTGGGTGAAGGTATGTAACCTTTGAATTTACTGGTTGGTGGTTACAATTATCACTTTGGGGGCTGTCCAGCACAAGTCCCAGGCTTTGTCCTTGAGCCGCCATGGGGGCTGGCTGGCCTAGCACGTCATGCACATAACTCTAAGTTGGTGAGGGGCCCCAGACAGTAAACATCTGGCTGAACTTTTAGCAGTCAGAGTACGTGCAGAAAGGGAGCTACTTCAAGGACTATGTCTTTTGTTCACAGCCCTCCCAAAGACTGTTTGCTTAAGTCTCAGGAAACTGAAATTGAGGCCTGATCTCTGAGACAAGACTGAGCAGCCTGTTATGGCATCTGCTTGGTCCTTTCATTTCCTCAGACTGGAAGCCTCTGAGTCCTCATCTGGAATGAATCTCAGCTGAACTGCTGCTCAAAAGTCTAAAAGCTTAACCAGTCCTAGTTCCTGGTCCTCATGCCTTAAATACCTTTCTGCTTTCTGCCATCCCTTCCTGGGGTTAAAGGCGTGAGTCACCATGCCTGGCTGTTTCCAGTGTGGCTTTGAACTCACAGAGATCCAGATGGATCTCTGCCTTTGGAATGCTAGGATTAAAGGTGCATGTGCCACCATTTTCTGGCCTTTGTATCTAGTGGCTGTCCTGTTCTCTGACCCCAGATAACTTTATTAGGGTGCACAATATTTTGGGGAACACAATGCCACCACAGTAGAGTTGTAGACACTGGGTGTCGAATCTGAGTCAGTAAATTGAGAGTCCCTGAAAGTGCTGAAGACACAATGGTTAACTTCTCTGAAGAGCGATTGTGAAATAAATGAAAAGCTTCCTTCTCTATCTTGTTCATAGAAATGGAGGAGGGCCAGGTTTTTCCTCTTCTGGTTCACTTAAGCCAAGTACCTTGCTGGGCGACATTGAAGTCCTCAAGCAAATGCTGACAGGAAGGGCACGGTTCACAGGACGCAGACCACTCCAGGAGAGGGACAGGAGCTCATCCACAGCCACCAGCAGCAGCCAGGGCAAAACCCACTGTCACCAGGTCTAAGGATTTTTCCGCGCAGGGGCTTGAACCCAGGGCCGCGTGCTTGCTCTGAGAGGAGAGAGCTCTCTGAGCCACACCCCCAGCCTCTAACTCTCACTTTTGAGAGAAGCTGTTAATCCAGTTTGCCCGTGTGTGTGTGTGTGTGTGTGTGTGTGTGTGTGTGTGTGTGTGTGTACACAAAGGTGCGACTGTGAAATTTGTTTCACAATGTTGGCGTGTGCATTTAAAAAGCAGACCAGACAAAGTTTATAGCCCACCCTCTGCTCTGGACTCAGGCTCTGTTTAGGATGCAGCTTAAGAAAAGATAACTGGAAGAAACCTATCATCCATAACTTTCTATGTGTTGAGGGTTTCTTTCTTTTTCATTCTTTGGGGGAATTAATGCTCTATTTATCATCTATCTTCAGGAAGATACTCTACTTAAACTTTCCATGGCCAATATTAGTGTCATAGTTCATTCACTTACATGCTCCATTCGTTAATTGATTGCCAGCAGGGTGTGGTGGCTCATGCCCATAACCCAAGCATTTGGGAGGCTGAAGCAGAGGGATTGACGTGAATCTGAGGCTAGTGTGAGAGACATAGTATGTTCTAGGCCAGCCAGGGCTGCCGCGTGAGACTCTGTAGTTTAGCGGCAGAGGAGGGCTTCTTTAATGCAGTTGTGAATGCTACTGGACTAGGTGGCTTTCAGTCCAGATGCAGTTGTGATCTCTACGTGTTCACTACAAATGCAGAGGTTAGGCTCTCTTCCGTGCACTTTGTATGGCTCCATCTCCTTGATCTTGGTGTCCTTTCTAAGAGTTAGACTGAAGTTTGGTACCCACGGGGCTGACTGCTCAGGAAACCAGAGCTTACCTGCCAATGCTGGTTTTTCTCCAGTGGGAAACAAATGCATGCACAAACACACAGAGACACAGATGCACACACACGTGCATGCAGAGACATGTACACACACACACACACACACACACACACACACCTGTTCAGAGAGTCTAGCAGTTTGGGGCATTTAAATGGAGAACAGTGGCTCTACCCCAGCTTCCAGCTGGGAAAAGCTAGTATTCTGTCGTCAGAAAGTCGCTCCTGCAGGAAGGGCTCATCTCCGATAGCCGATTAATATTCCCGGGGAAAAAAGTTCCTCCCCGAATCCCTGACCTCGAGCCTGTGCTGTTCTCCAGATGATCAGAGAGCAATGGAAAAGTCTCACCCCAAGACAGAGACTCCTTCCAGCACCAATTTGGGAGGCATCCCCCACCTTCCCCTGGGGCCCCAGGACACTGGTGCACGCCCCTCCCCCTGCCCACTCACCTTCTGAGGTTCGAAAAGCCACACAGACAGCCACAGCCACGAGGGTAAGTCCTGCCTGCTGCATTCCTGCCGGACCCACTGAGTCTGGCGGTGACTCAGGTGAGGCTGTGGGATCAGGAAGTGAGTCTAAAGGTGTCCTTAGGTGCCGAGAAACAACTTAAGTAGGCCAGGTAGCCCCGCCCTGGGAGGCTCTCACGTTTCCTTCTTAACACCAGGTTCCAGCCTGGCGTTAATTCCCAGCCTGATGTGTGTTCACGTGGTGGTGGTGGTGGTGGTGGGGTCTGGAGAACATCTGGGGCCATATGGCAGCTGATGAGAAGGTTCTTACCAGTTGGCAGTATTCATCAGAATCATTTGGAAGCCATTAAACATACAGCAGCCGACATAAATATCTCTGTCAGCCTCCAGCTACACACCAGAGTTCTAGGGTAGGAGCATCATTTGAATTTCGTAGAAGCTTCATGGATGATGCTGATGGACATTTCTGTTGAGAATCATTGCCTAAAAGAAATTGTTATTTATTTATTTATTTTAGGGTTTTGAAATGGAGTTTCTAGGGACAGGGTGATAAGTCATAAAAAATGATCTGCATAGAAAGATGGGAGAAAACTCACCTGGGCTTGGTGTGCAGTCAGATTTGGGTTTATTTGGGAGAGAGGCCAGGCAGACTGAGGGTCATAACTCTGGAGAAGCCCAGGACAGGGTGATTGGCCTTGCTGCCAATCAGCTTCCTGAGTGAATCCATGGGGTACCGAAGATGGCCGGATCCTAAAACTGAGCAACTCTGAGCAACCTCAGACACTGTAACTGACTTCTCTATAAATAATGATACCTCCCAACGTCATGCCTCTCTCCCTCTAGAGCCACGCAGGAACCATGCTGTGGTAGCAGGAACCATGCTACTCCTGACATACCAAATTCCAAAGAGTGACAGATAATTAAAAGGTCTCATTAGATGCCAGGGCTTACTTAAAATGTATCATTCAAAAGATTTTCATTCATCCCTTCGGTTAGTTTTCTGTTCTGAGACAGAGTCTTCTGTAGGCCCAGACCCTGGAATTTGTGATCCCCCTGCCTCTGCCTCCCCCCCAAGTGCTGGGATTACAGGTGTGCCACCACACCTGACCTCTTTTTGATTTTCTAGACTACCTCAATGGTGTCCCCCTACGACCTCCTCCCAAATTCATGTCGACACTCAATCTCCAAACACAGCACAGGAGATGAAGACTGATGGTGCGTTCTTAGGCCACGAGGTTAGATATGCTCGTAAGTGGGAAAATGCCCCAACAAAGAGGGTCTTCGGAAGTGGGCAATGCCTCTTCTCTGCCATGTGAAGGATGCAGAAATGGGGCCTATCTTGGAGCCAGAGACTTAGCTTGCCAACACCCTTACTCTGTAACTATGACAGAATAAATTTCTGCTCCTTCAAACTATGCAGCCTCAGATACTCTGCCATAGCAGCGAAATGGATTGATACATATACATAATCCCTGCCCGGAGTAGTGCCAGGTACACATGCAGATTAGGCATCCACAGTGAGCCTTGCTGCTATAGAGGGCTCAGAGCTCTGAATCCCAATGGTCCCCAGTTGCCAAGCTATGGTTTTGCCTCCAAGAGCTAGATTTATAATAAAATAGACAACAAGGGCTTCAGAGAGCAGCAGGCTAACGGAAACTGTGACCACCTGAATGAGAAGCCGGCAAAGTGTCTATTCGGGCCTTTAGAGGTTCGGCAAGGGCCTTGCTTACATGTTTTGGTTGATGAGCGGAGAAGCTGTGGTGTTGACTGTCGAAATTCTGTGATGCTATATGCACCTGCCATGACCACTGCAGTCTCTCTGGACCAAAGCCTGGCCTCTGAAGGCAGGAGTCAGGGGGCTGTTCAGAACCTATTGTGTGAGGATCTGCAGACTAGTACATGTGCTAACTAACATTCACCAGCCTGTCAGGCACCTAAATGTCCACCCCAAGTCTCTCCTGGGAGAGGCCTTCCTGTGTTAGAAAAGACTCTGCTCAGATGAAGGGGACTACTGGGTAATGTACGTGGTTGTTAATTGACTGGAACAAACGTTATACAGATGCTATAGATCACTGATGAGAAATTGATTTTGATGAGCTGGGGGTTATGGACGCTGAGTATGGAGCCCTGTGCTTCTCGTTTGTTTCTGCCATTGTGCACGGAGCTTCTGCTGGAAAAGGCCACTGTGTCCCTACCAGAAGCAGGCATGAGGCCGGTTCTGAGGACTGCAAAGCTCAAGGAGGCTTCCTGAGTTATTAACATTCTCTCTCCCTCACAGTCCTTCCTTGGGGCCCTAGCATGAAATGATGGTTGGATAGGGTCACCAGAAGACAGGTTTCACAGCATGCAGAACTGATAAGATTAAAATCCACTAGTGGGGGGCTGGAGAGATGGCTTAGTGGTTAAGACCACTGGCTGCTCTGTCAGAGGACCCAGGTTCAATTGCCAGCACCCACATGGCAGCTCACAGTTATCTGTAATTCCAATTCCAGGAGATCCGACATGGATGGCAAAACACCTATACACTTAAAAAAAAAAATCCACTAGTGGAATGACTATGATGAGAATCACAGCCCTGGGACAGGGTTCACATCATCATTGTGTTACGAAGTAAACCAGATGTTCACTAGCAGGAATCTATAGATCCCTGAAGGGTCTGATGCCACAGCCGTCTGAATCAGGACACAGGTGAGAGAAATCCTGGCATAGACTGGTTTTGGTTAAGGTGAAGGAAAAACTGAATCATGAGGCTTTGTCAAGAGAAAATGCGGTGTAAGCTCTGGTTATGGACTCTGTGTGAGGAGATGATGTGACATGGTATGTGAGGAGAGTATGCATACAGTAAGTCCAGTCTGTGTCCAGGAGGCCACATGTGGCCCAGGATAGCTAGGAATGTGGCCCGGTGTATTTGTAGATGACAACATCAAGTTGCAAAATGGCAAAAGGTTGGATGCCCCTGAACTTGGGCCAGTATTAACTCAGAAAGACCCTAAAATGGTGGTGTATATTAGCTGGGCTTGTTACAACAGTGGCCACCCAACGTGGTTGACTTATAATAAAGATAAAAGGCTTATTCATTTAGCTTGGGAGGTTCAAGAACAGAGTGTCAGCAGCTTAGAGCTCAGCTGAATCAGAACACGATGGAGATGCCTGTGTCCCTGTGGGTCTAAGAGGCTTACAACATCCAGCAGGAAACCAGATAGGAAGAGGCTGGCATCCCACAATCCTTTGTGAGGGTGTACCCTCCTTAGAGTACTACTCAAAGGCTCCATCACCTCCCATCCGCATCACCCTGGAGACCAAGGCATTGATCACAGTCCTTGGAAGGATGCTCAGATTCAGACCATAGCAAGTGGCTTTAGAAGAGCTTTCCTTGTTTAAATGAAGCTACCAATGAGAAGATCGGAAATTATGGCTTTTAGGGCATAGGATGAAGCTGGAGGACAGAGAGAGAGAGAGAGAGAGAGAGAGAGAGAGAGAGAGAGAGAGAGAGAGAGAGAGAGAAAGAGAGCATTTGAGGACATAAAATTATGTGCGGCTTCATGCTTTCCACTGTGAAACATCCCTTAGGTTAGAAAGCCCCAGCTGTAAACTTGTACAGATTCATTTCTTTACTAGGAAAGAAACAAATAGTTCAAAGAGAAGCGAGGTGACATGGATGGACCAGGAGTAGGACGATGCTTTACGAAGAAAGTCAGGGACCAAAAGGCAAATGCCAGGAGTTCCTGTATATGGAAGCTGGGTGTGGAAATCCACAGCAGGGTGGTGGTCTCCAGAGTCTGAGGAGGGTTGGGATCAGGATGGAGGAGACTGTTACCAGGCATAAGGGGGCAGCTGAAGAGGAGGAATAACGTTTAGTGTTCTTTAGCACAAAGAGTAACCAGGACCGACAGAAGTGAACTGTCTGTTTCCAAAAAGCTAGCGGAGAAGATTTGAATATTCCCAACACAAGGAAACGGTCAACACTGAGATGGTGCCAGCTACTTAGCGTCTGACCTTTTGCACATGAGGATTGGGATCTCACACTGTATCCAACAACGTACACTTTAGTTAAATAAATACACGCATACACATAAGGAGAGAGGGTAAAGTATAAACTTCATTCAATCAAAAAAAAAAAATGCCTGCTGCCATCTGTGCTCTGGGGAAAATGACCTTATAAAGGGTTCTAAACAGCACACTTCACAAAATAGAAAAGACAGTGAAACTCCCTTAACACTTTGTCTTGAAAATTTGTATGCAGATGTGTGATTTCAGGACTCCTATCAACATTCAAATGTCCTAGGACAACGCCCTATCCAACAAGACGCTCCCACCCTTCCTTTTGTATTAAGGATCATCACCATTTAGCCTGTGAGTTCCAATTCATGTTAATGGACTTGTTTAAACAGAGCAGGGTCTCATATTAAAAACTAGGCTCCAAATACTTATGGTAGCCTACTGAGTTACTTAATAAAATATAAGTATGTTGCTGGGCATGGTGGTGCATGCCTTTAACCCCAGCACTTAGGAGGTAGAGGTAGTGGATCTCTGTGAGTTCCAGGTCAGCCTGGTTTACAAAGTGAGTTCCAGGACAGCCTGGACTGTTACACAGAGAAACCCTGTCTCGAAAAACCAATGTGTGTGTGTGTGTGAGTGTGTGTATGTGTGTACATGTGTGTGTATATATATGTGTGTGTGTGTGTATGTATGTATGTATGTATGTATGTATGTATGTATGTATGTATGTATGTTATTATCTTCTTGTTGCATTTTGTTGTACCCACTGCAGGAAATTTGGAACATGTATAAAAGTATACAGTAAAAACTTAAATATCTACAAATAAGCATCCTCAATTTGTTGGCACATATCCTTCCATTCTTTCTGTGAAGATTTAGTCATTTCTTTATGGAATAAATATTGAGGGATGATCCGCTCTATGTGAGACAGTGTGCCGGACACCGGTGTCTTCATGTGATCCAAAGTGCCTGACAAATGGGGAGCAATGGGGTGCAGTCACTGCCAGCAGAGAGGGAGGCAGCTCAGCAAGCTGCACCTGTTAAGTGTGGTGATGCCAAAATAAGCTTCGGGCATGCTTAGCAGAGGCGCTTCTCCTGGCCTGGGAACCAGATAGCTAGCTCTCAGGTATGATTCTTAATGCCTGACTAGTGTTAGCATTTCATAAAACAGAGCTAGTGTGTTTTCCAGACAACTGCTCTTAATGTTGAACACTGAGACTGTAGGTTTGCCACGATTCACTGATTCAAATCTTTGTGTTGTTCTTTGGAGTCGATTTTGAAAAGCGCAGTTGCAAAGCTTCTGGCTGCAAATTCAGACTCACGCTGGAGATTTTGTCCGATTCTTTTTCTTCGGCACACTGCCCATTTTCCCAGCACCCTGTAACGATAGCGATTATTATGAAAATCAGATCACACGCTTTGATAGGATTCTCAGAGCACAAAACGGGCCTTTTCCATCCTTGGTAGACACTGTTAGAATTGCTTGTTTCCAAGTCCAAAGGACTTGTTTGGTCAGGGGTTGCAAAGAGTGGACATACAGGGTTGGGGAGCTGGCTCAGTGGGTAAAGCATGAAGATTTGCGTTCAAATCCCTGGGACCTATGTAAAGCTGGGCACTGTGGTTTATCTGTGTCCCAGTGTTCCTATGGTGAGATGGAAGAAGATGGGGACAGGAGAATCCCCAGAAGCCTGAGTGAGGGGCAGCTAGACTGCTCTAGACCGTAGCAAACGACAAAAGAGACATCCTGATTTCAAAGGAGGTGAAAAGGGAAGATGGACATTTGAGGTTGTCCTGTGACCTCCATCTACTTACAGAAACACACACACACACACACACACACACACACACACACACACACACACACACACAGGACTAGAAGGTATTTGCAAAAACAAAAAACTCCTCTGCTGATAACAAGGGGGAGACTGAAGAGTACCTGTCCATTTGGGCAGATGTAACTGGGATGTACAACTTGGCAAGCAAAACCCAGACATCCTTCCTTCCCACCCAGACTTTTCCCAAAATAGGAACCTCTGTGCGGAGTGGCGCACAGCGGCCCGCTCTTGCTGTTTCGTTATGACTCTGTTCTTGCTGCTGTTATCTGGACCATCTTCCCGGTCTCTCCTATCCCATCTAAAAAAGCCATGTATTCTTTTTTTTTTTTTTTTTTTCCTGGAACTCACTTTGGAGACCAGGCTGGCCTCGAACTCCCAGAGATCCGCCTGCCTCTGCCTCCTGAATGCTGGGATTAAAGGCGTGCGCTACCACCACCCAGCACCATTTATTCTTCTAGGCACATCTCTGATGCCTGCCTGCGTCTCCCCACTTCCTCACCCTCCGCTGTGCAAGACTGCTTTCCTGGCTTTCCAGGTCGGCCCTTGGGAGCAGGGGATGGCCATTGGGAGCAGGGGAGGACCCTTGGGAGCAGGGGAGGACCCTTGGGAGCAGGGGAGGACCCTTGGGAGCAGGAGAGGACCCTTGAGAGCAGGGGAGGACCCTTGGGAGCAGGGGATGGCCCTTGGGAGCAGGGGAGGACCCTTGGGAGCAGAGGATGGCCCTTGGGAGCAGGGGAGGACCCTTGGGAGCAGGGGAGGACCCTTGGGAGCAGAGGATGGCCCTTGGGAGCAGGGGAGGACCCTTGGGAGCAGAGGATGGCCCTTGGGAGCAGGGGAGGACCCTTGGGAGCAGGGGATGGATGGCCCTTGCTAGCTTTGCCTCCCTCACCGGCAGCTCTGTTTTGGTAGTTCCATGTCATATTTTCAGAACTTGTTCTCATTTGAAAATACACATTCTTCACAACAAACGAATGTGTATTTACATCAACATTTATATTTTGGGAAGATATATAAAGTTCAGTAACCAGACACTCAACTTATACCAAATCATTATATAACCACTTATGTAATACCATTGCTTTTTTTTTTTTTTGGCTTTTCGAGACAGGGTTTCTCTGTGTAGCTTTGCGCCTTTCCTGGAGCTCACTGGTAGCCCAGGCTGGCCTCGAACTCACAGAGATCTGCCTGGCTCTGCCTCTCGAGTGCTGGGATTAAAGGCGTGCACCACCAACTCCCGGCATACCATTGCATTTTTAATAAACAGTCAGTTGGAACTTCTCTTTAGTGCTTGCTTGTAAATCATTCTATTTGTGTGTGTGTTTGTAAACATATTTAATGTTATAAAAAGAGAGTGCCTCTTGTTTTGTGGGTTTTTTTCTTTCTTTCTGGTAACAGGTCAGGAATAACTCTGCATGGCCTTTTCTGAAACGTTATTAGCTTTCAGTGGTTTTATAACTTTAAGTCACAGGTCGTTTGTTGTTTTGTATTTTGAGGATTTTGTTTTTGTTCTTTAAAGACTTAATTTAATGTGTGTGGCATGTGTGCAGGTGTGTTCAGGTGTGTGCAGGTGTGTGCAGGTGCCTGGGAATGGAACTCCAGGCTTCCGAAAAAGTAGTGCATATTCTTAATCACAGAGCCATCTCCCATGTGACCCAGGCTGGTCTTGTACTGGCTAAGTACCTTAAATTCCTGACCAGTCCAGCTGGGCGATGGTGGCACATGCCTTTAGTCCCAGCACTCGGGAGGCAGAGCCAGGCAGATCTCTATGAGTTCATAGGGCAGCCTGGGATACAGAGTGAGATGCAGGACAGGCACCAAAACTACACAGAGAAGCCCTGTCTCAAAAAACAAAACAAAACAAAACAAAACTCCTGATCACCCCGACTCATCTCCAAAGTGTTACAGGTGTGAACCACAACTGATCAAAATGTGCGCTTCTGTGTTGCTTTGGTATTTTAACTGTATAGTCAGACAGCTTGGTTGTGTTCTTTTTCTGGTGTGTATTATTACTAAAAGTATTTTCGTTGCTGGGAATCAAGCTCAGGGCCTTGAGCATGCTGGACAAGTGCTCCGTTACTAAGCTATTCTCTCGTCTCCAGTAATGCATATTACGATTATAGCAATGCGGCGGTCGTCAGTCTGGTAATGTTTCCACTCACCTCACTGTTTTCCTACATGAATTCTTAGAAATGGGAATTCTCTAGGGCTAGGGAGACGGGTCAGTGGGGTAAGGTGCTTTGCACACACTTGAGTGAGGACTTGAGTTTGAATCTCAGAACCCATGTGCAGGCAGAAGTTGGCAGCGCGTGTCTGGAATCACAGCGCTTCCACAGCAAAATGGAGGAGGAGCCAGGAGTGAACAACAGCCCTGTCTCAGCAACTCGGAAGGGCAAGACTAACACCCGAGGTAGTCCTCTGACTCCATTCACGTCTGTAGACACACACACGAACACACACGCAACATGGACACACACACAAGCATTTTTTAAAAAGACATCAAAATTCTGGAAGTGTATGCCCTTTTAATACAAACCACTTTTAATATACATTGCCACCTTATCTCACGGTTCTGCAAACACCTCTGCTCAGCCTTTCTTCTCCCATAGGCTGAACTCAGGAAGGGCAGGATGTGTGAACATGCTCCACACTATACCAAATGCCTAGCCGGTGCGCAACAAACAATGGATTCTTAATGTTTGCTGAATGGATAATAAACTGGACAACTGAAATGAGCAGGTCTGCAGTGCATGGGGAAAACCACACCAGTGGGTCTGAATGGTTTTCAATCAGTACCTTTGGCCCCTTCTGAGTACTTGCCATTTTACTAGTAATAATGCTATAATTATAATAATAAAATTCATTCATTATAATTATACTGCTATAATAATAATAAAATCCATTTCTCCGCAGGGGTTATTTTCTATATTATAGTAAAAACAAAAAGTATGAATTAGAGGAGGACTAAGGGTCTAGAGGTTGAACCAGGGGCAGGGGGCAAGGATGGGGCACTGTGTGCTGATTCAGAAAACCGTATTCTCTAGGAACAATACCGGGCCTTTTCCAGCTAAGGCGTTTCATGGTCTATGAAATGTGTGATAGGGATGGGCATATGAAATGCCAAAGCAAACAGGGAAGCAGGCAGGACTAATCACAGGGACAAAGTTTGAGCCCTGAGCAGTAAGAAGGGAATTTCCCTTGTGCAGAAATTCCTGGTTAACTCTGTCGGTCCCTGACTGGCGGGAATGCCTTACGCTGTTGCTATTTTCAGATTCAGGCCTTCCAGGTCCCTGACTACTCTGAAGTCATCCCGATGGTACCATGCTCTCTTTTATTACGATGCTGAGGTACAGGAGTCGGGGGACTGGAATGAAGTCCGTCGACAAGCTGGGAGGCAGATAGCACAATGGTACTAACGGCTAGCAGAAATATAAGCAAATTAGGAGTGACCAGTTGTTAAAAATATCTCGCCGGCTGTAACTAAAATCAGTAAATGATTGGTGCACAATCTGGAATGTGCAGTCCTTGTATGAACTTAACACAGTTAGCCTGGGGTACGCAGGAGTCAAGATAGTTTTGACATAAGGAGAGACTGGATGGATCCTTCATCGACTGACTTTGAAACAGCTGGTTGCCTGTGTGGGTGTAAAAGGACAAAGTTGAAGTATTAAATTCTAATGTATTACATATTTAAAGAAGTGTGGAGGTTTTTTTTTTTCTTTTTCTTTTTTAAGTTCTTTTTAAAAAGGGAAACTCTTTTCACATGAAACAAGATTC